TTCCACTCCATTGGGTGCCAAAGGGGGCAGCTGGAAAACCGTACTGCTGTGGGGGGCACATAGACTTGGTGAAGTGACCTAGAGAGGTAGCTGATGCTGCAGAGATGGGGGCAGAGCCACCCAGGTTTGAGGTCATGGAGATGCACAGCTGACCAGGTGCAGAGAACTTCCTTGCCATTCCAGGGCCCTGAAAACAAAACAGGTAAATGCAAAGTTTGATGTTGCTATTTATACTCATGGGTGTGAAATGTTAGGTGTCATCAAGTTGACTATGACTCATATTGACTCAATGAACAGCAGCTTGAAACCGGGGCTGTATCCTGTGCTATCCTCATGATTTTTGACATGCTTGAGCCAACTGTTACAGTCACTGTGCCAATCTGTCTTGTTAGGGTCTTCCTCTCTGATACTCCACCACCCTTCCCAGCATGATGTATTTTCCAAGGATTTGCCCCTTCTGACAACATGCCTGAAGTATGTGAAGCAAAACAGACCATTACTTTTTTAATCTTATAAAGTATAGGGGAAAAAAATGTCACATTTCTTAACTCTTTACACTTACCTGATAGAGATGAGAATAACTGCTCTGAAGGAGGGGTGTGCACGCATGCACGCTGATCAGTGTAAAAAGGAATAGGGAACTTAGAATAAAAAACTCCCTGAACAACTCGCTGTTGAGTCACCTGCTTACTCATAGCCGACCCCCGAGCTGGTTTTCAAAGGCTGTAAATTGCAGGCAGTTTTTCTTACTTGGGATGGCTGGTGAATTAAAATGATGGAAAGGCCTAGCCTCTGAGTAAGCACAATACCCTGTGCCAACAAGGAATAAAATAAAAGGGCAGCTGGGCATTTATTTTATCTTGCTTTGTCAGAACTCTCAAAATCTAGGTGCTAATACACATGATGGCACAAAATGTTAAGTACCAGGTTAAATAGTTTATCTGCTCTCTGATGATGTGTGCTGAGTGATATATTGGTAGATTAGGAAAATGACAAGGTGAACACTTACCTCATAATTCATGTGTCCTTTGCTTCCTCTCCTGCCTGAAAGATTCATGGCATCTCGAGCCCAGTTGTCTACCAACTTGTGTAGGTCATCTGTGAATGTGCCCTTTCTGCT